CACTTTGAATGGGGTGACGTCACGCTTCGCCGAACTGCATTGTGGGGAGCGTAGCTACGCGTTGCTCACGTTGAACCATGTTCCACTTTTGAAGCTTCGACGGAAGCGTCAGCCAATCAAATCCCGTTTATGAAAATCTACCAGTACAACTGCTACCCAATCAAACCGCGTATATGCTGCGAGTAGTGAATCACCCGGTGCTGTATGATCAGTCTCTGTTCATCTACCGGGATACAAACCGGAGGAGCCAGGCATGGAGGGAGGTGGCAGAGATAGTGGGTGAAACTGGTAGGTTTTCGCCTGTTTGGGGAGTTTATATCCAGTTTACCTCGTTTAAACATTGAATGGACAGCTAGCAGGCATAGACAGTATATATAGCGAGCATGGAATGCTAGCATTTTGCTTTGTATGTCGGGGCCGGAGATTCATGTGATTGGTTGTTGGTCGCATTGTTCGCGTTGACTCCCCAAGTTTCAGACACGCCAAGCGTCAGCGCACGCTGCTGTGTGGACGCTCCGTAACTGACTTCTTGGTACAACCTGATAATAAGAAGTTACAATAATCCAGCCTTGAAGTAACAAATGCATGGACTAGTTTCTCTGCATCGTTTTGAGGCAAGATATGCCTGATTTTTGCAATGTTACGTAGATGGAAGTAGGCGGTCCTTGAAATTGATTTTATGTGGGCATATATATATATTCATTAATGATACCCAAAGGGCTAACACATTGACTTTGATTATCTCCTCACTTTTTCTAACTAATTTGACTGCAGGTTGACTTCTGTGCTTTTTATTTAAATGAGACACTTAGGATTGGTTGCCTTAAACCATTAAAAACATATTGTCAAGATTAGCCAGAAGGTAACTCAAAATAACTTTGGTAGTCCACGCAGATTGTGCCAGTAAAATGTAATTTGTCCAACACTTTGGTTTTCATCAACTAATTACATTCTCATCTGCCTTAGCTGCACTTAGAGTTTTACTGGTTATAAGTTAAAAGTAGCATGCTTAAACGCTAAAAAAAGAAGGGGGACATGGGAAACCTTCCTGCAAGAATGTAATTTATGAACATCATTAGTCTTGTGAAATGTTTTGTAACTAGGAAATGTAATTATTTCATTCAAAGATGGGACTTTTCTTGAGGTTAAGAAATATAAATAAATAACTGAAGATTGTTATGTTCCAGGAAATTAAACTGAGATAGTTTGACATCAGAGCAGATTGTACAACAGTTGGAAACACATGACTATAAACAGACAGATAAACAAAAAGAGCAGGAGAATCTTCAACAAACAAACAATGTATAGTCGTTAGGGAGAAAGAAGCTTCACCCCACTGAGCCTCTCTGGAAGTGAATGTTGATGTGAGTTTGCATCAGCTCACCATCTGTTCCTCACATAAGCCTTTCTCCTTTCTCCCTTCGTTTATCTCCACTGCTCTGTTTCTGTATCTGTAATGAATCACTCCTCATGCACACATGGTCACAATCAAAGGATCTCCTCTATCATGGAAGGAATTACTAGAATTCCCCTCTTGAGCCTAATAACGCTGACAGGCATGGTCATTATCAGAGTTTTTTTTCTCCACCCTCCTTCAGTGTTGCTTTTGAATAAGTCTGTTTAAACTATGACTACCTATTTATCCAACCATAATGTATTGGATTTATCTTATTTGGTTTGAAGAACGTTTTTTTTATTCACAGACCTTGCCTGTCTGTGTCCTATAAAAAGAGCTTCCTGCCAATCCGAAAATAGGTGTATTGAATCATGGCCTCTTTAGCTGCCTAACAAGCCTTTGTGGCTTGACCACATAATGACAACCGCAGTAAAACACCAGGTTTTAATGCTGGCCTCAGCCACAACAACTCTGAAAATAAATATGTCACCTGGAGATTGATTAAATGTAATTATACAAAGGGATAACTAAAAGCTTTGAATAAACAACACATACAACCTAAGTACATTTATTTTATATTATTTCCTACTCTTGTCTCCATCAGACTCCAAGACAAAGTCCAGGAGACCATCGAGGCTCTGCGTCTGGCAGGGATCAAAGTATGGGTGCTGACAGGGGACAAACATGAGACGGCGGTCAGCGTCAGCCTGTCCTGCGGACACTTCCACAGAACCATGAACATCCTGGAGCTCCTGCAGCAGCGCTCTGATAACGAGTGTGCTGAGCAGCTCCGCAGACTGGACAGGAGGTGAGTGTGTGTCGTAAAATGTAAAATATTCACAGTAAGTCTTAAAATGCATCTTAAAGCAACATATTCTGATTACATTGGAGCTCTCTTTTTATATGCATGACTTTTTGAATGATGTCCTGACGCTGTTGTCTGCATATGGGTTTAACTGTCAGGTTTTTTGTAAATAATAAAAACCTGGGAATACTCTTCATTTTTCAAGATGCCAGTTTTTGGAAATGTTTCTGCAGTAGGCAATCCTAGTTTGTTGCTCTAATAAAAGTCAAGGGCAGGAATTGGTACAGTGATTAAAGTGCTGTTTGTTTGTATGCTTGTGTCCCAACTGAAAACTGGATGTAAATATTTAAATACCATATTTGGGTGCTTCAACTTACTGCGCACCAACAAAAGCTCAAAAGTGCTTCTAAGTGCTAAATATTTAAAATAGAAACACTCTAAATAAAAACAGGATTTGTTTGTGATAAATGTGTAGAAAACAAAACATAAAGTAACAAGATTATCTGCTGCTGAATGGACTAAAAGTCAAATCTAATACAGCATTAGATAGATGTAGTAGTTCTTTCTATTGCTCTCCTCATCCATAACTAATCATATAATGTATTCTTAAACTTGCTCTCTGATTTCTTCCAGGATCAAGGAGGACCATGTCATACAGCACGGGTTAGTCGTGGACGGGGCCAGCCTGTCTTTAGCGTTGAGGGAACACGAGAAACTCTTTATGGAAGTGTGTAAAAACTGTTCAGCTGTGCTGTGCTGCCGCATGGCCCCGCTGCAGAAAGCTAAGGTACCAGTCCTCTGCCATAAACACCCACCCACCCACACACACACCAAAACTCTTTACCCTCGTGTCCATGTGTCAATGATATGTTGTTCTGTCCAGGTGGTGCGTCTATTTAAAACCTCCCCAGAGAAACCAATCACCCTAGCTATTGGGGACGGAGCCAATGATGTCAGTATGATACAGGAAGCTCATGTGGGCATAGGTAAACAGTCATCTCAAACACAGTGTGCTCTCTAACTTTGATATTGTATAGACCAGTGTATCCTTCAGTGTGTGTGTGTGTGTGTGTGTGTGTGTGTGTGTGTGTGTGTGTGTGTGTGTGTGTGTGTGTGTGTGTGTGTGTGTGTGTGTGTGTGTGTGTGTGTGTGTGTGTGTGTGTGTGTCCCAGGTATCATGGGGAAGGAGGGTCGCCAGGCCGTGAGAAACAGTGACTATGCAATCCCCAGGTTTAAGTTCCTGGCTAAACTTCTGCTGGTCCACGGTCACTTTTACTACATTCGAATAGCTACGCTTGTACAGTACTTTTTCTACAAGGTGAGTTACTTAAAGCTATCTGCATATTTTATTTGTATTACAAGCTACAGAATGATAATCCAGAGTTTTGAAAAGTGCTTTTTAAACTGGACTCGCACAACTCCATGTCTTGAGCTGAATAAGTCTGTAGGAGCTCTACAAGGCCCAGTGTTCGGCCATCTCTCATGTCACTGCAATATATATATTTTTTTCACTCTTTCTTTTCCAGAACGTGTGTTTTATCACGCCCCAGTTTTTATACCAGTTCTTCTGTCTGTTTTCACAACAAGTAAGTCTCTTTATCTCTACACCCTCCACTATTTCATGTCATTTTAGATTTGTTTAGGGTTTTAATGCCATTGGCTTCCTAGAATGCATTCTTAACTATACCTAAGTTTCTTTTTAAATACCTCCCTCGAATTGAGAGAGTTTGATATCCCGTTTGATTTGCATTTTTTACTTTAAAATTAAAAAGCCCAATAAGCCAGAACATTGAGATTGAAATGTTGTTCTGGAAGCCTGTGAAAATTGCTGTATTATTTAAACAGTGGATGTCCCACTTTGCATTTAAACTCTTCATTCTCACTCTTCACCACATCGCTTTAGAACTTGAGTTGAATTATTTATTAGACTATTATTGGCATTAAATCTAAACCTCTGTCTGCTACCAAAGTAATTACTTCTGTCCGAGACCCTAAGAAATTACAACCATTCTTTTTTGCCTGTGTATTCAAACCTGATAAAGCTCTTGCCTTTTTTTAAATGTATTGTAAGTTATCTAAGATAACCTGTTTGTTTAAGTTTGGTCTAATGGGTTTGTGTTAAGTGAAATGCTGTCTCTTTTCCGTCCCAGACTCTGTATGACAGTGTTTATCTGACACTGTACAACATCTGCTTCACCTCGCTTCCCATCCTGGTGTTCAGCCTGTTTGAACAGCTGGTCCATCCACACGTACTGCAGAATAAACCTGGCCTGTACAGGTAAGCTCACATGTCATCTCGGTAATATTATACAAAAGCAATAACTGTTTAAGGGTCGCTTGCATATATACAACATGTATGTATAACTGCCATAAATGTATACGAAAAACATAGTCAATTGTTTTGTGGTACACCATCTACATTCACAAATTGCTACTGTTTAACAAAGATGGCTAAAATACATTTTGTTTACATTTTGATAAGAACAAGCACAAAATAGTATGTAGTACTACAGAATGCAATTCCTGAAGAAATTGCTAGTGGGAATGCTTTATGCTGAAAAGCTGACGCTAAACTACTATGCTGAAATGTAATATGTAAGAAGAAAGTGGAGAATTTAGATTGAAATTATACATGAGCACTGGGGGCTTGAATGTGTGATGAGAGAAGAAAATAAAGTGAAAAGGCTTGGAAAAGCAGCAGAATATTTGAACTGCAAACTTTTGAACTAACTTGATGGCGAATTATCTGTCGCCATGCCAGCGACATTTGATGACATCCCATAATACGCTTAGATGCATTGATGGCTGCGTCTTTACCAAACCTGTGAAGTTTCGGCCGTTTGGAGCATTTTCACTGATACAGGGTCCCACGATTCAATAAAGTCAGACTGAAGCACTCCTTCGTGCATCAGTCAATCCTCACAGTAAATACAGAGCTAAATCCCAGATCAAATGCACGCTGAAGGTTCTTTGAGCATGTTTTCTCTCACTGATTGTGCTGTTATGTTAAATGTTTGTTGTTTGTGTTTCATGTATTGTGTCTGGATACTTGTCTGTTGAT